CAAACTTGGATGCAGGATCCAAACCAGGCAACTTCCCAGCATCCTTTCCAGATTTGCAATACTCATATTAAAACAAATTAGACACTCTACTAAGTAAGAAAAGAAAGCTTACTGCAGGGGTCCTCAAACTACGGCCCGCGGGCCACATGCAAATACAAATATTGTATTTGTTCCCGTTTTGTTTTTTTACTTCAAAATAAGATATTTGCAGTGTGCATAGGAATTTGTTCATAGTGGTTTTTTTTTTAATATATTTCATTGATTTTCCACAGAGAGGAAGGGAGAGAGACAGAGAGTTAGAAACATCGATGTGAGAGAGAAACATCGATCAGCTGCCTCCTGCACATCTCCCACTGGGGATGTGCCCGCAACCCAGGTACATGCCCCTGACCGGAATCGAACCCGGGACCTTTCGGTCCACAGGCCGACGCTCTATCCACTGAGCCAAACCGGTTTCGGCCATAGTTTTTTTTTTAAACTATAGTCCGGCCCTCCAACTGTCTGAGGGACAGTGAACTGGCCCCCTGTTTAAAAAGTTTGAGGACCCCTGGAAGTCACAGAAATGATGTAAGGGAACAATCATCCCTGTCAAGTCACAGATGAACACTCCAAAACAGGATAATTTAAAAAAATGTACGTTTGGTCTTTGAAAGCACAATATAACCTTATTTTTGCTTGGGTCCCAAGGCAGATGTTGGTGTGTGAAGGGGGAACTGCTGGGGAGCTTAGTTCAGGACTTTAACATTGGCCAGATATAACATGCAAACTGCTTGTAACACACAGTAAAGAAGATTCACCTCTAGTTCCCAGTCACTTGGTACTGAAGTAACTACTTACCCTAAAGATTCCAATCCAATCCTTCCGACGGGGAGTGCAGTGCTCGGTGAGGGTGTAGTAGCATGTGACGTCCCCTCCAGGCACATAGAACTTCTCCACGCTGTTAAAGACGACCTGAGAGAAGTGACAGTGGTCCAGCAAGACAGCTGATGTGGGCGGGTCTCCTACTGTCTCCTCCATGGCCGGGTCCTGTTATGAGATATGGGATAGAATACGGCTCAGAGGGAGTTGTCTGAAATGGTGGCGATTTCTGGGCTCTCGTCCAGGGAACATTCTGTTAGAGACAAGTCAGGAAAAGCAAAAAGCAGCCTGACTAGTACTGAAACCATACAACCTGCTTTTGGTTTCACTTCGAGCCATTTTGCATTCATAGCTTCCTTTCCCGTAAGACAGTGGTTCTCAACCTTCCTAATGCCGCGACCCTTTAATACAGTTTTTCATGTTGTGGTAACTCCCAATTTCATTGTTACAAATTGAACATAATTAAAGCACAGTGATTAATCACAAAAATATGTAATTATATATGTGTTTTCCGATGGTCTTAGGCGACCCCTGTGAAAGGGTCGTTCGACCCTCAAAGGGGTCTCGACCCACAGGTTGAGAACCACTCCTGTAAGAATTTTCTGAGAGTATCTTTGACCTCTTCACCACAGGCACCACCATGATCACATGCCCTTGTTCTCTGCTCAGAACTAGTTTGTTCACCTTCTTCTAAATGCCTTAAATAAGTGAGGCGGCCCGGAGGAAAGTAGCTTGAGCTGGGGATTGGAAGATATAGATTCTAGATTTTTTTTTTTTTTTTTTTAGATTCTAGATTTTTTATCTCAATAAGCTCTGTGACTTTCGGAATACCAATTTCTCTAGATTTCAACTTCTCCATTCAATTCCATTTACTATCCTATAATCACCAGGCCCTTCCATATATGAAGGCACTCCTCTAGGAGCTGGGGATGGGTGCAGGGAGGAAGATAGGGATGAGAGAAGGAGACTGTTTGACATGTGATGGTGACAAGCATGGGTTTTGCGATCAGAATGGTGGAGTTCAAATTCCAGCTTCACCACCAATGACATGCGTGACCTTGGGCAATTTACTTAATCACTGGGCTCTATGCCTGTTTCCTTAATCTGTAAAATGGGGCTAATCACATCTATCTCCTTCGGTTTTTCGTAGCATGAACTGAAATAATGTAGTGTCCAGTCCTTAAATCAGTACTTGCCATAGAGTAGGCACTTCACACAAAGTAGACATGTTGAATGACAGAATAAAGTCCTTAGCATAGAGTTAGTATAAAAAAAAGGGTTTAGCAGATGTTAGTGAATTACTACTGTTGTGGGTGTTTTTTTCCCCCTTCTGACACAGTGTTTGCCCTCACAATGAGCCCCAACCCAATATGGAAGTTAGATGAGTAAACAAGTGACAGCCAATGGATGATTTAAGTGCAAAATCTCTTAAATTCAAAAGGAGAAGCGATGCGACTGGTTAGGAAAATGAAGGGAAGTTTCGGGGAGTGAGTAGAATCCTAGGTCAGTGATGGCGAACCTATGACACACGTGTCAGAGGTGACACGCGAACTCATTTTTTTGGTTGATTTTTCTTTGTTAAATGGCATTTAAATATATAAAATAAATATCAAAAATATAAGTCTTTGTTTTACTATGGTTGCAAATATCAAAAAATGTCTATATGTGACACGGCACCAGAGTTAAGTTAGGGTTTTTCAAAATGCTGACACGCCGAGCTCAAAAGGTTCGCCATAACTGTCCTAGATAACGCCCTCAAGGAAGATTAGGATTTTGATAAATGGCTTTGAGGTGAGGAAATACCAGGCATGAAGCAGCATGCAAAAAAGCAAAGAAACAGAAAAATGCAGCCCATGTTTGGAGGACAGCAAGCGAGTTTGGATCCCTATCTATAAAATGGAGATAATAAAGTTTATTAAATAAACTTTCTAGGTCACAGTACAGATAAAATGTGATCAAGGATGGGAAACAATTAGGGAGGTAAAAGCAGTACATAAAAGAAACATACACAGTCTTTTGAACTGCTGAGACTTGATATTTCTTACCCCTTAAAAGCTACATGTCCTGACTTCTAAATGCCTCCCTGGTCTAACATGTAGTGAATCCATGATTTGCAACCCAGAATTTTATCGGGAAATGAAAACAATATTGCATCTCTACACAGCCGATGAAGAAAGAGCTGTGCATGTGCAAACATTATATGATACCTTACAAGTTCAGCTGTTGGAACATGTTGGAAGATTGTATACACGCATACACACAATTTAAAATAAGTAAGTACAATAATAAAAAAAAGACAGTCATTCTTCTAGCCCTGCCCCACTTTACTTTTCCTGGTTTTATTTTGAACTCTAAGCAACCAGGCCAGTTTTTTCATAGAAAAGCCACTGAGCTATCTATTCTTGGGATTGAGTTTAATTAAAAAAAAAAAAAAAGTATTGGCTTTCTGGTTTGTGACACAGTTTAACCACATCCTCAAACCTCAAACCTCAGATCAGTTTTTCTAAGGAAGAGAGAGATCATGTTGCAGTCTAGGTCAGGACTTGTTCCTCGTGATAAGCTTGTTGCCCGAGTGAGCTCTTAGGTGAGGGAGGGCAGGAAGTTTTCTCAGCCTTCAGACCCTTCTCTTCCCTAGTGGTCTCGTCAGACTGGGGCCAGCATATCCCCTGTCATGTAAAATGACTTAATCTGTCTTTTGACTATGGATCTGAACAGTCAGGTAAGAGGGACTTCAGGACCTCAATGAACCCAAGTACCATACTCCCTGTTCTTTTTTTTTTAAAGAGGTAAACATTTTTTGCTTTTGTTTTTTTAATATATTTTATTGATTTTTCACAGAGAGGAAGGGAGAAGGATAGAGCGTTAGAAACATCGATGAGAGAGAAACATCGATCAGCTGCCTCTTGCATACCCCCGACTGGGGATGTGCCTGCAACCAAGGTACATGCCCTTGGCCGGAATCGAACCCGGGACCCTTCAGCCCGCAGGGCGACGCTCTATCCACTGAGCCAACCCGGTCAGGGCCATACTCCCTGTTCTTTTTCTTCATAACACAATCACCACTGCATACACAACATAATGCCTAGCTTGTAGTGATTGCTAATTGAGTATTGATTGTATAAATAAATGAATAAGATATATGCATGTAATATAAGCATAACCAATGGACAGAAGACCCTGCAGGGGGTGGGGGGTGGTGAGGGCATGTGCCGGTGGGTAGGGGAGGCTGGGGGAAGGTCAATGGGGGGAAAAAGGAGACATATGTACTACTATTTGTAATACTTTAAACAATAAAAAAAAAAGATATATGCATGTAATTCATCAAAAAATGAAAGGTGGTGAATGGTGGCGGGACTAACTTTTTCTTTAAGTCCTGCTCTTACTTTGTTGGATGCCCTTGGAGGAGCTGCTGTTTCCCGGCGTTCTCTTGTCTAAAACAGGGGAAGGAGATGATAATCTCCAAATGCTTCATCAATTCTTGGTATGGCTGGTTCAGCTGGTAGAGCTGGTTCAAGTGGCATGGTGCCAAAAACACAGAAGGCACAGATTTGATTTCCTGAAGGACCCATAAAATTTACACTCCATTACCCACCTTCCACACATTCAAATTCTCGCAAGCTGCTTTGCAAATGGATGCTACTGTGAAAGACAAGACCAGCTAATGGTATGGGGGCTGGGTACAGCCTCTCCTTCCTTACTAGAAAAACAATCTATACAGTAGCTCATGAACAGAAGGTCACTGATGAAAGGTCAGCATATATGTTCAAAACGACATGGAAGAGCTCATGGCAAAGCTTGAGTGCAGCCCAGCTGCTGTGGCTCAGTGGTTGAGGGTTGGCCTATGAACCAGGAGGTCACGGTTCAATTTCTGGTCAGGGCAGATGCTCGGATTTCGGGCTCGATCCACAGTAGGGGGCATGCAGGAGGCAGCCGATCAATGATTCTCTCTCACCACTGATGTTTCTCTCTCTCTCACCCTCCCTCTCCCTTCCTCTCTGAAATCAATAAAAATATATTTTTTAAAAAAAAAGCTTGAATGCATAGCCAATGGATACTTTCTTATCTTTCATCTGAAAATCTAATCATCTATCTGGAAAAGTCAACAGTCTTGGTTCCTTGCTTATCAAAAAGGTAAGATTCCAGCCCTGACCGGTTTGGCTCAGTGGACAGAGCGTCGGCCTGTGGACTGGAGGGTCCCAGGTTTGATTCTGGTCAAGGGCATGTACCCTGGTTGCGGGCACATCCCCAGTGGGGGGTGTGCAGGAGGCAGCTGATCGATGTTTCTCTCTCATCGATGTTTCTAGCTCTCTATCCCTCTCCCTTCCTCTGTGAAAAATCAATAAAATATATTTTTTTTAAAAAGTAAGATTCCATAAAGTTACCCATTTCAGTGATCCCACCTTCCCAGAAGGACCCAGCAGGCACCCAAGGGCACTCTGGGTTTCTGGAACTCAGTCATTCTTAAAATAAAAACTATCCTCTGCCAAGACTGTGCAAGGGGCTGAGGAGGCAGGGAGGGCAGAAAACAGCAGTGGCTTCCCTTGTCTGCCTCTTACCAAAGCCGAGGATGGAAAAGGCCATGGGCAAGCCGAGAGCATGACCCTGCCAATCTAAGCTGGGCCAGTGACGATACCTCATTTGACTTTTCCTGGAAGGAAGATATCAACTGATGTTTAAGGTCAGAGACCCTAATAGCCTTTCCTCCCTCCCAGTGATAAAATTCCCCGAGGAAAGCAAACCCACATTAATTTAATTTCTTCATCCTTCTGCTTACTTTACTTTCCAAATGATTAGCAACTAGAAAATGGATGAACTAATTGGAGTCCCACTCGTGGCCCAGGAAGAGATTCTTTCACAGAAATACCCTTAGAGGACACTGACAATAGATACACTGGATTTGTAGATGGCATGAGACAGTGAGCAAAAACAAAGACACAGTCACTGGTCCTCAAATTATTAAGCCACTTACTGTAATTCAAAGTTTCCAGGTTCATTATAGTTCCTCACCTAGAGTCTTTCAGGGTGCCTTAGAAAGGCCTTAAATGGTACTCATTAACAACTGACTGGATTGGCTGCCCAGCTCCTTCTCAGCGGGCCCTCATCCCACATCCCATACCACCAGGGCCAGCAGTACGAGGGAAGAACAGAAAAATAGTTCTTGGACAGAAGATGCAGGCAACCATAAGAAACTGTGAAAAGCTCAAAGCTGTCTACTAAATCTCCATTTTACTCTACTGAGATTTTACACTTTTTCCCTTAAAGGGGTGGCCATGCTAACTCCTGAAGTGACAAGTGATAGTGTTTGGAGTGTAGTGGAAATGGGACCAGGCTAGCAGCCGGGGCACCTGGGTTCCTGTCTTAGTTCTGCCACTAACGAGCTCTGAGATCCTGGCCAAGTCACACTACCTCCTTTGAGGCCTCATCACTAAAATGCACAGATCAGGCTAGAAGATTTCCAAGAAACCTTGCAGCTATAATGATGATCCTAATCAGTGGTCGGCAAACTCATCAATCAACAGAGCCAAATATCAACAGTACAGCGACTGAAATTTCTTTTGAGAGCCAAATTTTTTAAACGTAAACTATATAGGTAGGTACATTGTTATTAACTTAATTAGGGTGCTCCTAAGGCTTAGGAAGAGCCACACTCAAGGGGCCAAAGAGCCGCATGTGGCTCGAGAGCCGCAGTTTGCCGACCACGGGTCTAGGAAAATAAGGAAGCATGGCATTATTTCAATAAGCACTGCCAAATTTCTTTAAAGAGCCCCAGATGTACTATCTGACTTGAAAGATAATACAACCTGTTAGTGCTATGCAACTCTTACTGACCGCCTTTCTCAGGGTCCTTTCCACTCCACAGCTGTCATATCTGCTGGAGGGTAGAGTTTCAGGTAGAGGACTTCTGAAAAGTCACCCGGGTATTCTCTAACCATGTGCTCTACAACTATCTACGAAGACCTGCTGCTTTAAACGGGTTTTGCAGTAGTGGAGATAAGTTATAATATGCAGCAGTCCTCGAATAACGTGGTTTTGTTCAACACCATGTAGTCCTCATGTTGATAAGACGCTGTAGGAACTTAACTCTCGTTTATATCCATTGGCCTCTGGTAAAACTGGCTTGCCTATACAACGTCTGGCTTAAAGTTGCAGAACCTAGGTCCTAGGACAAGGCTAAGTGAGGATTTACTGTGCAGCATCTGTATTATTCTATTCCGCGCCGCCACTTGTTGGCTTGCATCAGGAGCAAGGATCCAAGTGATAAAAAAAAAAAGTTCGCATGCAAGGTTGGATTACAACGCGAGTGGAAACAATTCGCCCCCAAGCTGAAGTGGCCTGGAGGTGGCAGCGGGAGGGGCGATGGGAGATGGACAGTCAAGAAGCGGGTCACTCCACGCCCGCTCCTTCTCGGATGCCTGGAACACCTCCTCCGGTTACAGAGGCCTCCCCTGAAGGACAGGGGTTTCGGGGACCAAGCCTCGTCCGAGACGGGGGGAAAAGGAGGCCCAAAGAGAAAGCAGGGTGAGTAGGTGACTGCGCAGGGCCCCGCCTCCGCCTCCACGCAATCAACGGAGCTGCCAAGGGCGAGGATTCAGGAATCACTAGACTTCCGCCCGCGGGAGGGGTGGGATGCTGTGACGTCAGGACCCGCAGTCCCGTCAGAGGGACCCCTTCTGCCCACGGAGCCTCCCAGCCGGCCGCCAGCACCGCGGCCCTGCCCTGCTCGGGAGAAAACTGCCCCTCAGCCCCCCGAGGCCGCGGAGAGCGCTCCAGGGGCCCCATGACGCCGCTCGCACTCACTGTCTCCCTAGGAAGATGGAAGGAGGTGGAAACCGAAACCGGTAGCGCCTTTACCGCTCACGGTACTTTCTCGGGGCTGCAAGTCTGCTTGTAGGGGACGCGAGGGCCCAGCTGGCACCGATTGCCCCCCTTCACTCCAGGGACTCACCAGGGGTAGCAGCCGGCGGCGACGCCACAGGACCGGGTAGGGGAGAGGGGCGGAGCCCAAAACCCAAGGGAGCGCAGATCCCATCTGACCCCGCCCACAAGTCACATGGGTCACAAGCCCCGCCCCCACTCCTTGCTTGCTGGGACTTGTAGTGTTCAGATGACTGGGCTCCAGGGGATCCTCAGGGATCTCATTCTAAGGAGCTTATTTCGTCCTCTAAAACAGCGGTTCTCAACCTGTGGGTCGCGACCCCTTTGGGGGTCCAACGACCCTTTCACTGGGGTCGCCTAAGACCATCCTGCATATCAGATATTTACATTACGATTCATAACAGTAGCAACATTACGGTTATCAAGTAGCAACGAAAATAATTTTATGGTTGGGTCACAACATGAGGAACTGTATTGAAAGGGCCAGAAGGTTGAGAACCACTGCTCTAAAACAAGCCATTTACTTAACTTAAAAAAAAAATTTCAAACTTTATTTCTTTCAGTTTTGAATGAGAAAGCTCCATCTCTTTGGATGGCCATTGAGAGGTCATCTTCATTTTTCTCCTGCTTCCACATAGCACTTCACTGAGAGTCTTATAGATGAGACCCTCTTTGACATTTAATCATGCCTCCCACCTACCCCTAAAGGAGACCCAACAACCTGCCAGGTGCCCCAGAGTTTGTGTTTGATCATTTCCTTTTTTTTCCTCCTTAATCCTCATCCACGGACATGCTTAGAGAGAGGAAGTGAGAGCCAGAGAGAGAAACATCCATCGGTTGCCTTCTGTACGTGA